GTGGTGGTTGCAGTGGTAGTGCTGTAACGAAACTGATAAAGTATAGGCCCGTCCGTCAGCCAACAGCACGTAGCAAAAGAGAGGTACGAGGCCCCAGTCTAGATTACGAGAGTCCAGAGAAGCGAGAGACGCCTTAGGCCGCCGCCAACCTTGTCTTTAAACCCAGGTATAATACCTCACCTTAGGTAGGTCAGTAGGTAGGGGCTTTGTTTGCTGGGATGATACACAGTTAAAAGGAGAGACTGGGAGCCCCCAGTGTTTATTTGCAAGGTGCCTTACCTTGTCCTGTCTGGTGTTTTGGTGAGAGGAGCACCAGCCACCAATATCTGTCCTGAGCCAATCTCCAATTCACTACAGAGTACTAACCCAACGTACCTATGTACTAGATGTACTCGGCCAGGTATAGAGTGTGAGGTATAGCTGGCAAAGTCTAATATTGATCTACGAGCACGGTCTGCGAGATCTCCTGGCCACTGTTGCTGGTCTGTATCCGTAGTCCAGGCAAAATGCTGGCTTAGATTAGTACTTTCATGCCAAGGACAACGACTTAAATATATCACGGATCTGGTTCAGTTTAAATAAGGTACCTTACTTATGTACCGAAGAGGTACAGAAGCCGCACTTGTCCCTGTCTATCGTGGCGCTAAAAATACCTACCTATTTATTTACCTACCCTCCCTGCCTAGGTAGCTACCTACTAGGTATTCAACATGATGAACGAGTACAGCAAATTGCTAATGAGGGCATTTCATCTTACCCAGACATGGAGACGACGATATCCAGGATCCATGGCTCGATGCTGTTCAACAATCGCGATGCCCAAAAATAGAATTGATGTAGGTAGGAGGTAGGTACGTGCGGATGCCATTCTGTCCGTGCTCATGGGACTCAGCCTGTTTCGAGACATTTTAGTCAAGGTAGTGGAGGTAATTAATCAAGCTTTTGAGGTCGTGAAGCGGTGGTGCAACCATATTGCACAGGACTTTACTATCACAGTTTATATAACAAAAGCCCCGTACATGTTGTGTTTATTGTCATGTACTGCTTTCCATTTACATGCAGTGATTATTAGGTATCTCCCCTCAAGCTGACAAGCACCGTTGATTCCACGTGTTGGTCAAATGCACAACCATGACAATATCGTTGCTGAATTACAGGATTCACTCCAAGTGCGGATGTCATATCGTACGAAACATGGGGATCTTTCTTGCATGCATACCGATATCATTGCCATGACTTGGGTCTTCCAGTGCGGCGCAGCACCTCGTATCAGCCAGAAACCACGTAAATTGCAAGATATATCTGGAATCGAGTATCTCGTGATGGATAGCCGCGTAATAGGGACGCCATGTCGAACTAGTAACCTATACTGCTAGATAATGGGATTTGATCCTAATCAGCCACGTATTGAGGTATCGAGAACGTTATCCGCCATCTCTTAGGAACTCTTGCTGGGGCTGTGCAAGCATGTACTGTTGTAAGTGTGGTGTCGTCAGCCTCCCATCGAATCATGGAAGCACCAATAAATTAGGCACCCAGAGAATGAGACACCATAAAGCCATAACTTGCGATAAAAACCAGAGAGCACTGTTGGATTTCACCTCATAAGCAGACATCCATAACCACCTCATTACGTGGTGAAATGAACATGATACCTCAAGGTTACCTATGTATGTCCTACCCTAGAGCTCGGGAGCTATATGGACGTCCCTGCTCTTATTCTAAAGTTTTTAGTACTCAGACAGACTGGACAATTCTGTCCATGGGAAGCTGCGTCCTGAAAGATTTTGGGAATAAATACACACACAAGCTGCCTTGTTGTCTAGGTAAGGTATTCATGTTCCTGCAACCGTACAGATGACGCTTCATTGTGAAAGTCTAGAGTGAAATCGGCCCATCACCCCACAACTACAAGATGCTCCGACTTCAACCTACGACGATCAAGATATCCACACGCGACATTAGCGACGCTGAGCGTCGAAGCCGCTACAGGAAGCACCTACTTAGTCGCCAGAAAATCGATAAAAGGCGCGATGATGTCATCCAGCATGATCAAGAAGCTGTGCTTGAAGATGCCCTCAACACCAGGATCGCAACACCAACCACTGACTCCAGCATTGGACAAGACACGCCAGGTTCAGATGGTAGAAACGAGTCAGACGGTGAAGGGGGATTAGGATCATCAGTTCCTCTGATAGACTACGGTACCATCAGTTCCGAGGACACCACCTACGTGGATGTTGATCACGGCATCAACCGCCTGCATCAACAACCAGACCAACATCGACTTCCTTTCCGCCCGCGGCAAAGCTTGGGTAAGCCGGCAGCCTGGCAATGGCGAGACACGATCGGAGCTGAGGCAGGTACTGACAAGTTTGAAGATGACCATGAAGATGCGAATACCGCGCCCGTCCACACGCAACCCCACGATAATGTTAGGGATGTTTCCGTGACGGACGAGGATGAACGCAATACAATAGGGCAACTTTTGGCAGCAACTGTGAGGGACACTTCCCCAACCGAATTCCAGTCCCTCTCATTATTATCGGGATATGTTTCCATGAAAGCCCCCTTGAATTGTATTGATTGCGGCGGCGACATGAAAGATAAGTACGCATAGGCTAATGGGCAATTAGCTGGACGGATCAACATACGAAACGGAAGAAGTCAACGACGACCTCTCGCAGAGCTTGGGAGAACTTATAGAACCCCCCGAAGATGCTGGTGAGCTTTCAATCTCAACGGCTGACGAAGGATTGGAGTCTATGACACCCCGAAGACATTTTCCTGTGTACAGTGATCGCCTGCCCGTTGAAGAACAACCCCAAACTCCAAGACAGCTTCCAGAAGCTCGCCATCAAAGCAGGTTTGATGGAGCTTACACGGCGCCTGTTCGAGAACGACGAGCGAGAATCCAAATTGACGATGCACCGGTGACAGTAAGGAGAAGGCGTGCTGGACGCAATACTAGCCCAGTAGGGTTGAGAGCACCAGGGTTGCAGGGTTTGTACGGAGGCAGTGAGAACGCCGACGATGTGTGATGTGATTTGCCGACAGACATCCCCGGTGATGTCAGGTGGTCCATGTCATCGGCAAATGCAAGGAGTACGAGGATCAGTCTTGCTAATACAAGATAAACGGAGCATAATATTACGGTGGACTGCTGGTTTTGCTGATCAAGCAGGGCGTTAACTGAAGTGAAGTTAGTATTCCTTCCTTACCTTACCTTACCTTAGGTTAGTCTGTTACTGAATCAGGATAATGAACTGTTCACCGAGTTCGTTACCAAGATAATGTCAATTAAAGGAGCATTCCTCCCTTAGGTCTTGCTTCTCCGTAAGTAAGCGATAGAAGATCGGTGATAGTTCCTTTGTGATCCGTTTGGGACAACGGGCGCGGACATGGATCCGTCCTTACAAACTCGGGCAGGTTCGAATTTTCAGTTGGTCCGGCTCCGGGGGGCTCCAGATCCAGCCATTCGCGGCAGCGAAAATTCCAGTCGAGAAGAGTTTTTGTCAGACTGGATGTGCCTGGCTTGGCTGTTGCCACCTCAGGCACCAGGAGTGGCAGAAACCTTAGTAGGTACCTTAGTCTGCTTACCTAGACACTGGGGCTGGACATCGGGACGGGAGTTCCATTTGATCCACTCATTTCACTTGCAGTACAGTAGGTTCCATCATCCCTACGCAAGGTACGTACCGCTTGGAAACGGGCTCGGAACTACAAACTTCCAATCCTAATGATCCATTGGGAGGAGAAGACGAGGGCAGAAACAAAAACTGACTCGGGCTGGGCGGAAGCCCGGGTGGGGATCTCATTGGTGTCCCATCGGGAAAAGATTGGTCAATGTCTACGGATTACATATAGCTGCGGATCAGAAGCAAAACCACCTGGCTGAAATGGGGGCTCGGCTCTTAGGTTTGATTGCTGAGCGAGTGCTCAGAGGCTCAGAGTGGCACGGGGCAACTAGGTAGAGTCAAGCCAAAACGTTGTCCATCCAACCAGGTAAAGGCTCAAGACATGCTAAATACCCACCCAAGCGCTATGCCTCTTACGGCAGCGAGACCCCTAGCAATTACGCAACCCAGAAGGAGTCAAGCGCGAATTAGAGCTGACCATTAGACAGTACGTACCTGACACTGCGAGGTGCCTTAGCTTCGACCTAGACCACTTTTAGGGCCGGGAGGTTTGCGATAAGCTGATGGCGTGCATACCGTATGCATACTGTCTTGCGCGGGTCCAAACTGCAGCTTGCCAAATCCGATACAAGATGCTGATGCTGCTCCCGGTCTGTTTCAGGCGCCTGGGTATCTTCTCAGAGTACCTGTACGCGGCGTTCGCCGTTCGCAAGACCAACGCACAGTGTCAGTTCCAGTGGCTGTTAGAGATCGGAGTGAGGCTGCATGGGTTGGGTGGGTGCGTTAAAGAGCAAGAGAGCACCTCAACCTGGGGTAAAGAGCCACTCACACTTCACGCCCCTTCTTCGTCTCTCTACTGTATGTACTGTCCCTACCTTCCTACCTACTCACAGGTTCTTTCTATTTTAGCAGGTCCTCCCCTCGCATTCTTTTACAGCTTTTTCATCCTTCTTCTTCCTCCCATCGATTTCCTCCTCCTCTCATCTCTTCACATAATCCATCCATCTCAGGACATAGTAACTCAAAAGTCATTCTCATCACGACTTGTCTTAAACTACATCCACTTACTACTACCTACCTATTATCCACTCTCTCATCCTCACCTTCGCGTACCTTGGCCCTCGTGCCTCGTCCTGGCCGCATCCATCGCGTTCTTCTACTTCTCTCTATCTCATCGTCACTCATCAGGCTCCATTCCGCCGACGCCCCCCTCACCTCTTCTCTTGAGCGAACTCATCATCACCGCGTGTCCCGGAGACTACGCTATAGATGGTTTGTTACAACACTGACTACTAACCTTGCAAACATTCCCAGTTTCCCATCACAGATCAGAACCGGACAGAACAGAATACGCTTTTCAAAATGTCGTACTTCAGCTCTCAGTTCTCTTCCTCTCCCGTCCTTACCATGTCTCCCCAACATGCCCACCAGTCTATGGGCATGGCAAGCTTCGGACACCACACACCACCCCGATTTGCAGCTATGCCAAGCCAGTTTGCTCCTCAGCCTGTTCGACCTTCTGCAGCTGGTAGAAAGCGTTCCCGGGACGAGGCCTCTGAAAACCTTGAGCCTGACTTGAAGTCCCTGCCCGTTGAAGAGCCCGAAGAGGAATGGATCTACGGCCCGGGCATGACCCTCATTAAGAAGAGCACTCGCTATGTCACAGACGCCAGCAGTCAATCCGGCACCTGGGTTGAGGAGAAGAAGGCTGCTGAAGAGGCCGCCATCAAGGAGGCGCGCTCTCTCATCAGAAATCCGAAGCTGCAGCGCGTATCGCCCACTCTATCCAGCGCACCTGCAGCCAGCACTTCTTCCCTTCAGCCTGAAGTCAAGCCTGCTATCGAGGGTCCCATTGTCGATAACTTCACTCTGCATCTCGGCATCGGCTGGCGAAGAATCAGTGAAGAAGAGCACATCCAAGCCGCTGCTCGTGGTTGGGCTCGTTACATAGAGAACCACTTCCCTGTTTCCAATGCTCGAATCCTTCTTGAGAGCAACGGTCTCCAGTCGTATCTGGTGGAGACCAACGAGGGCTTCTTCCTATTTGCCGAGAATCTCCGACAAGGCCAACTCGTCAGCCACAATGCTGAGGGCGCACTCCGAAATCTTCAATGCTCTCCTCCTACCTTTGACGGACAGGAGGTTCTTTCAGCAGCCGAATCACCGCGACCAACCAACGCTGTCCCTGATATGGACATGAGCATGGACTAGAGAATTATTGTCCGGGAACATTTCAAAATTCTTGATGCATCTTGTAGTTGCTATTTACGGAGTTACGTGTTTGCCATGCTTATGGACTGGGATTGGGAATGGGAAAGGAGCCTTGGGATGGACGGGAAAGAAGGCTACCGAGAGCGAATGCCATAGACCGGATAGTCATGGCTTGATATCATTTGATTGCAATTTACATCATTGAACGACAACTCGATCTTGAATGTGCCTCTAATGTGAATTGTGTTAGCGTTGAACATTTTTCTGTGGCTTTGTGCAAGTTGTGCAGTTGTGTTTGTGGCACAGTCGGAGAAAAACTGCCGCTAATAGATGCGGGTCCGTTCAGGGCGTTATTTTCGCGAGCAAGACAATACAACGCGACACCCTTAGGGCATGATCGGCAAGCCCGGGATAGCATGTTATAAACTGGATTTCTATTAGAAAAGTAGTAAAAAGAGAGGTAACTAACTAACCTTTCTATATTAAGGTCTATTTTCTTACTATAAACTTAAGAAATTAATAAATAATTAACTTAGTAGCCTTTATATAAGCTAGTAATATATTAAGTTAGTAAAAAGGCCTATAATTTACTAAATAAAAGTAAAATACTAAGTAATATTTCTATTTTTTAGTATTTTTTACTAATTTATAACTTAAGTAAAAAAGGCTATAACTTTAGTATTTTTACTATATTTATAATAACCTTATTAGTTAACTTAAAATACTATATATAAGAAATATCTTTTATAGCTAGGCCTTTATAATAATTTTATTACTAAAATTATTATTAATAACTTTAATAATTAATAGCTAAGGTAATTAACTATTATTATAACTTTTCTAAATAGCCTTAGCTATTAGTATTACTATTAGCCTTACTATATAAATAATTTACTTACTTAGTAGCTTTATATTAATATTCTTATTAACTTTTAGGCTTATACCTTATAGCTAATATTAATATTAAATATAATATTTAATAACCTATTTT